TGTAACAGTTGCTATTCAGTGGCTGTTAAATGATGGAGAGATGCCAGAACATTGTTCAGGGTTTACTTCTGTTATTAGTTTCTGCTTTCTTTTCCAGGGTCACTTCATTGTGTGGGAAGGAGCACCAGGAGCCAGAATGGCATGGAAAGGTCACAACCGCCATGTCTTCCTCTTCAAGAGTTACATTCTGATATGCAAACCCAAACGGGACACCAGGACAGACACCTATAGCTACACCTTCAAGAACATGATGAAGGTTAGCTATTACTTTACTTTCTGCCCAATTCACTTGCTCTCTTTTCATGATTACTTTTCTCTTGAAGACAGCTGCCGGCCATCAGAAAAATCACTTTTCACCAGTCCCTTGCTTAGGATTCTTTTGTTTCCAAAACACTGTTATGGCACAGGGTTGAATGTACTTCAGAAGTAAGGCAAAAATGCATCAGACATCCCTAAAGAAAACGCAGAAAGAGTTTCACTGCATAGGAACAAGGTTGCATGTGAGAGACAATGCTCATCCCAGCTTGCCCGTTGAAGCCATTCATTGAAATCAATTAATCGAACTGTGAAGGAACTTGCCCTAAAGTGCAGTCTATAATATTTTCAAGTCAAGAAGTTGGAATAATGGCTGTTCAATCCAAACTGTATCTCCAGGAATTGTTTTTTTCTGGCTTTGTTCTTTGCTGAAATGACTCCTCTTTCACAGACTTCGGCATTCACTGAGTCAGAGGTGTGGGCAGGCCCATCCGGCATCCATTTGCTCCCCAGAGCATAATTATAGGAAATTAAAGATGGTATTTTCTTGGGAGTTAAATGTTCAGCTCCTATTGAAAGTCAATGGCAGTTAGGTGCCTACACCACTAAGGACCTTTGAAAGCCCCTGCCTCAGTATCTCCTGACAGTCACATGCATAGATTGTGTTGCCTAACTGAATTACAGTATGACCTCTTTACAACAAACCTGACATATGACAACACCTGATTTTTGAACAATTACAGCAGCAGGAACTGCTTCTTTTATTATTCTGTTACAGCAGATTGATTAACCCCACTATAACGAACATTTTCTTGTTTTAATGAACTTTTCTCCCTGTCCCATGGGGGTTCATTATGAGCTTGTACCATATCTCTATTCATTCATTCATTCATTCATTCATTCATTCATTCTATATAGTTTCTCTTCACTTAACTTCTGCCATTCTTAGTTTTTACTGTGGAGCATCTGCCACCATTAAAATGTCAGCATTTGCGTTGCTGCTGTTGCAAAATCACATGGAAAACCTTGTAACATTTGGCATTATAGTCAATGGCTTTTTATACTGCCAGTGCGATGTAAAATGGCCTTAATGTAAATGAGAAATAGGTTTGGTATGTCCTAAGGAACAACCCTGCACTGGGAAAATAGAAGACTTGTTGACACTTAATTGATCTTTTCCATTTTATGTATTTATTTTTTTTAACTGAAGGTTGTTCTGAGCCACAAAGACTGGATCCAGATCTGAACTTTCCTGAACTTTGGGATTTTGTCTAACTGGGGAGGAGGAAAGGTCATCAAGGTTTCAGTTTAGTTTCATCTCCAATTTTAAAGAGGTTTTGCTGTGTTTCTTCCTGTCGTCCAGCTGTCAAACATAGATGTGAATGACCAAGTGGAAGGAGATGAACGGGCCTTTGAGATCTGGCATGAGCGAGAGGACTCAGTCCGCAAGTACCTACTTCAAGCTCGTACAGTCATCATCAAGAACTCCTGGGTGAAAGAAATCTCTGGCATACAGCAGCGTATCAGCCTGCCTGTGTGGAGTGAGTATAGTGTAGCACAGTGGTTTTCAACCTGGGGTCCACACACTCCTGGGGGTCCACAGGCTATTTCTAAGGGGTCTGCAAAACATGACTCTGATCAATCAAAAGTATGCAAATACCCACACTTACAATTCAAAGGGGTCCACACTTCCATTCGACATTTCCAAAGGGCTTCGCACCTCCATTCATAATTTTGAAGAGCCCACAAATGGAAAAAGGTTGAAAACCACTGGTCTAGGAGACAGACTGAGCCTTTGCTACAGCTTCACTGGTTGTGCCTCACTTCCCATGCAGAAGTGAGATGTTGTGTTAGGATTAGCTGTGCAGGGAGGAAAAAGCCATCAATGCCAGCTGGAGACTTCGGTAACTCCACTAAGTGTAAGGATTTCAGTTTACTCCAGTGTGGCATCAACACACAAATCTCATAATTAGGAATCCCACAAAACTCAACAGCCTGTGTGCAGTTCTGCAACAATTATCTAGCAGCTGAGGCACATGCTCCCCCTTTGAGGTTGATCACACACTTGATTATGAGACCCCTTGGCCTATGGATCTGCCAGTATCAGGGCTTAAAACTCAACAGATCCATTTAGTGATCTCTCTTGAATCACAAATAATTGAAAATACCAGGCAGTCATTGGAACAGCTGGCTACTGAAACCTCCATTTCAGATTCCCAGCTGTGGAAATTTGGAGTTTGCCCCTGATTTCTTTGCGCTATGTTAATCATCCGTTGGACAAATCCGCCAAGGATTACCTAACCAACCTCTTTTCTTTCAGTACCTCCGGACTTTGAGGAAGAGCTGGCTGACTGTACAGCTGAGGTGGGCGAAACAGTCAAGTTGGCCTGCAAAGTTACAGGAGCCCCTAAGCCAGTCATCAGCTGGTATAAAGGTATAAGCAATATATTCTGTGGTTGTGCCCATTCTTTGTATTACACTTGCACTGTGCCAGCAAGCTTGGTAATGGAAAGCTCAGTTAATGGTTGCCTATACTGCAAACTACCATGTAGTGCAGACCTGCCCAAATTTAGCTCCTTTACTGCAAGCAATCTAGGCATGCTTCTTCTGGTAGATGCAATGCTTCCTAAGTTTTGTTTTCAGTGTGTGTTGTAGCACATCAGAGGAAGATGAAGAGGTTGTTTCTCTGCTACTAAAAAATCAGATATTAGGGGGAAATATAGCTCTCAGCCTCCCTACATCTTATGCCTCTGCCATCCTCAAGCAGGCAGGAGCCAAAATGGAAAAGCAGGATGCAGTTCTCAGGGGAGGATATTAAAATGATGCAGTGTCTACAAAGGATTTTTCCTCCTTTTGTTTTTAAGATGGCAAACCAGTGGTGGTGGACCCACATCACATTATAATAGAAGATCCTGACGGCTCATGCACATTGATCTTGGACAATCTGACAGGTGTCGACTCAGGACAATACATGTGCTTTGCGGCCAGCCCCGCCGGTAATGCCAGCACGCTAGGAAAGATCCTTGTTCAAGGTAAAGTCCTATGTGGTTTTAAAGGACTGGTCATATACAATTGACTTAGGTGTATGTATTAAGTCATGCATGCGGCTCTGCAGCATGTATATGGCATGTCCATTTGGAAAAGCCCTCTGGTGTCTCAGAAGTAATGGACTGTCTTTGGGTCAGGAAGTCATATTACTGAGAGGTTGCACACAGCTGTGAAGGAAGGTGATCCAACTGGGCTATCCTCCTGTGGGTGTGCAAGGGGTTATGGGTGTGTTTTTGTTCTTCTTTGTACTTATATTAGATTGCTATCAGCATTTCAGCTGTTGATCAAGTTTGTTCTTGCTTCCTAGTGCCACCAAGGTTTGTGAACAAGGTTAGAAATGCTTATTATGTTGAAGGAGAAGATGTTCAGTTCACCTGTACCATCGAAGGAGCACCTTTCCCTCAGATCAGGTCAGTTTTTTAAGTTATTTCTTGATAGAAACCAAATGATTGCACAGTCTTGATTTCTCTTCCTGTACTCTAATGAGCATCGACTGTTCTGTCCAGTCCCCAAAGCTCAACTCTGTGCCCTGCAAAATGATCCTTTCCCAGTCCTGGTGTCCACATCTTAGACTTGTGATTCCAGTCCCTGATTCCTTTGGATAGGTTTCTCATTCAGTGTCTTGCATTAAGAATGTGAGAAGAAAAATAATACATGACATAAGGCAGTCTGCCTTGACTTCACCAGTTGCTCTTGGTCGTCCATGATGATATGGACAGAGGAAAGCTCATGTTCTGCAGACTGGCAATGCAGCTCCATGAGGGTTTCTTGAGAAGAGCATTTTCCTATAGGAGCAGAGTCCATGCCCTTTCAGCTGCAGAGACTGCAGGGCCCAGGGCTGAGGCTAAACTTTTAACATCTTCCCGGCTCTGCCCAATAGATCTCATAGATTTCATAGACATTAGGGCTTGAAGCGACTTCAGAAGATCATCGCGTCCAGCCCCTACCAGCTTGATCAACCAGTGACTCACTGAAATGTCTCAAACTCAGTATTTTGTTGCATCTTAGACTCCATATTTTTCCAGGTGGTTCAAAGATGATGTTCTGCTGACCGATACCACTAAATACCAGACTTTCAGTGAGCCACGGAGTGGCGTGTTAGTCCTGGTGATCAAAAACCCCTCTAAGGAAGACGTGGGATACTATGAATGTGAGGTAAGTTAAAATAGTCCTCAAGGCCATCTCTTTGACTCTTGCCATAATATATGAATTTTCTCTGGCTGGGAAGAGTTCTACTAGTTGATATTACTGACCGGTCCATATAAGCATCAGAAGTGTTACAAGAAACATACCAATAAAAAAATAAACCTCAACAGTTCCTAGTATTAGGATCTGAGGTTTTGGTTCATCAAATGATAGATAACTGAGATGAGTTTTGGAATTCAAAGCCAGCTCCAAAATCAGATATTACATCCGAGGGGATGGTACAATGCAAAGTTTTGCTCTGAGCCCAAGTTGAAGGGAGAACCTCTCAAATCCAGACCAGAAGAAGCAAGCTTGAGTTTCAGCTACAATGGGAACCAATGACGTTCCCTTATGCTGCGGTATATCATAAGGAATCAACTAACAGATTCACATAATGTAGCTAAGGGATCAAATTCCATTACTTAAAATATAGCATTTTTTAAATTAAACTTTGTTTTTTATAGTTATGTAGTATCATGCTCTTAGTAATAAAATAGTTTTCACTGAATTAGGATGTTGTTACTGAAGGAATTGGCTTCATCACTCAGGGTCATCCCTTTCCACCATGGGATTCAGCTATGTCCACAGGAGTTTCTGGAGCAAAACTATTCCACCATTTGTTCAGTCAACTTAATTGTATTGCCTTTGAGGTCTTAGCTGCAGTGAGCTAAAAATGGGGCTTCTTTGTATAACATAACCTTGATATTGTATTCAGTATTGCATGATTTTCTTTAGCTGGTGAACAGATTAGGGTCAGCAAAGAGCGGAGCAGAGCTTTACCACCAGGGCATGGCATTGCTGACCCAGGAGCGGAGAGGAGACCAGGCCATCACCATAGAAGGTATGACCTCTTACCTCCTCTGTAAGTACATTGCTGAACTATCCTACCCTCACCTCACTGAGGATTGAATATATTTGCCATCTTATGCCACAAGCAGTCAAATTCATGTTGGTCGTCAGCGCACATGTGCCTGTGTGTCCATCTATGCATGTATGCGTATGGTGCAGCTCAGGTATACCCATCGACATCCTGGTAGATTTCCAAACCCAGCAAATCAACATTACCTGACCATATGATGTGTATAACCTACCTTTGATAAAAAAAGGAGGAGCAAGCAAAGGGCTTATTGTGCTACCCCTAGTTTTGGCAGAACTCTAGCCTTCACATTAGACCCCTTGAAAGAGTGCTCAGTCCCTTGGCAGCACAGGATTCGAGCAGTGCTGTAGTTAAAACACAAGAGGTATTTGTGGTGAGTCCCTAAGCTGCAAATCAGCGGTACATGGAACAGTGAAGGAAATGTATCTAATGGGTGAGCTGTATTTCCTAGCATGTATTTGAAAAGGCATTAATTTACTTGCGAGCTAATGACACTTTAATATCAAAGGTTACATAGAGTCATTTGGGATTAGAACAATTCCTTTCTCTACTTTGCTCCGGTCTGGGTTGTTTAACATGAGTTAGCCAGACATCCGGCAATGTAGTCATTTTTTTCTTTTTGGGGCAGCGGTCTGTAATTGTTTTGTTCTTGAATTGAATTATGTCGACACTTTGCGGAGAATAGAAACAAAACCCCTTGTACCTGGGTTACCAAAATGCCAAGGGTTTGGAAATAGGTGCATAATGTATTCTTCACATCACTGGCATTTAAATAGTTACATTGCTCCTCGTTCCAGTGGGGACCACGACTACCAGCGGTTTATTTTCGACGAAGGAGGGTATGCTTAACGATTACGTTGGCCTTTGAACTAGTGTTAATGTCAGGCTGCCAACATTCATATCAAGGCCTCTAACTTATTAGCTTGGTTGGAATAAATTTGTTTTAGGGAATGAGTTGTTTTAATGAATTTGCAGCGTAGGGAAGTCAAAGTCAAATGTTCACTAAGCCTAGCAGTCCAGAGGGCTAGGGTAGGTAAGGCACAACCGTACCCACTGGTGTAGAAGTGAATGATCACGGCCAGTTGCCTTTGACTCTCCAGCCTGAATGAACAGGTCCCCACTTCCAGCTGGGTCAGCTTGTTTCCACCAGCAGCATGAGTGTGGAGAAGGTTTGCCAATCATGCCTATGGACCTGTAGCAAGACACTTGGTCTGCTGTGCCATGCCTCCCTGGCAGCAGCATAGCAAAGCTGGTGCTTTTCGTTATTCCCCTGATCTGGCTCCTTGTAACATTTCAGTAAATGCATTCATACTTATACATGCATTCCTTTACCCTTGCTGTATACTTGCTTTCCTTGAGGCTATGTATTATGGTACCATCTGCCACAAACCTGTCCATGAGGAACCCCTAAACCTCGAGTTTTTCCCCACTCTGCAGCCACTTGCCACAGGGAACAGACTGAGTTGAGCCTTAGATATCTCCCTCTCCCAACCAGACTCAGTTCCACTGCCCTGACGCCCAACCCTGCAGCTGCAGTGGGGGATGCTCTGCCAGCCCACAGGTGGCCCCCACTTTGAGCTATGGAAGAAATTACAGGGGCCCCTCTCCACAGAGAGAGTCACCCTGGAATATTGCCTACAAAGAAGTCACTCAGGCAAGCAGCAAGGAGGTGAACAATGAAAGGATCCTTTTGTAATAAAAGGATTTATTACACAAGAAACCAGGAACCATGTGCTGAGATGCAGGCAGAGATATAGGAGTACACCAGGAAAAAAAAATACCAGGACATTGATCTGGTCTTACCATGCATCTTAAATCTAAAGCTGCAGCCCCTACCCAGCTTCCCAAGATAGGGAGTGTGCGATCTCAATCCAGAGCCTTCTGCATCCCCCTTTCAGCTTGGTTTTTACAGCCTCCTTGGCTGGGGGACTTCATGCCACCTTTTACCCAGGAAGACTGAAGACAAAGCCATGCTTTAGGGGCAAGCTTTAGGTACCTGTGCCAGTCTGGCTCCTAACATGCAGCAGCCCTTCATTTCTAGCGGGGCTCACGCTGTCAGTAATTTTCTAACCTCCTGAAGGTGTCTATTTAACAGCCTACAGACTTGAATCCTTTTTAGACATGTCGATTCACTAATCCCATGCCCATCTCTCCTGCGTGATCATCTGACTAGCCAGGTATCAAGCTCCTGGATCTTCTTTCAAAATATAAATTTATACTAGTCTGGCCACATCCAGGTTTCTGGTGCCTCCCAGCTGGTGTGCATGGAGAAACAACCCAAATCAAATGCCGGTTCTCAGCTGGGTATCCAGGTTGTAGCCGTATTGGTCTAGATGGCAAAAGGACTCAGAACTCATGGCAGAGGTGATATCTTTTATTAGACCAACTAAATTTTTGCAAAAAAAAAAAAAATCTTTATTTGCAAGCTTTCAGGCACAAGCTCCCTTCTTCAGGCATAGGAGAAAAGACTTGGGGGGGAAATGGAGAATTGGAAACATTCTCAGCTCCTGCCTTTTCTAAGTGAAACTAGATGATGACCATTTAAGTTAAGAACTGTTTCAGTGACGTTTCATGTTTATATATAAACATATATCAGCATCCCCTGTGTATCTAATACTATAACACGTATGCTTATATGAGAACAAGAAAATGGAATAGTTGCCTACAATTAGAGACTCAATGCCATACAAGTAAACCTCATTTGGGGCCATATCTATGCATGCCATGTGTTGAATCCCCCAAACTGACTTTGCTTCGGGGTGAATGCATGACTCCATCCAAGCAGTGAGTGAGACTTCAGGGGGAGACTTTTATTAGTATATCAAAATTGTAACTGAATCAGCTGGAGGAGTGGTAACCAGTGTCTCTCCATAATGTGTCCTAGACAGGAAGTGACTCCATTGCATCCAGGATACTGAGAAAAGAATATACTGCACCATCTTTTGGCACCAGTATCTCCCGTCTGCTTAGACAGCAGTTTGAAACCAAGTAGATATTGTAGTAAAAAAGCAAAGCTGCCTTAACGTTATGTGACGGTGGTAGACCCGTCAGCATTTAAATTCTTCCAGAAATGACTCATGCGGTGGTGTGCAGTCCATGGAAAACATGGGATGTTGATTGAAGATATCTCGGGTGACAGTGGCCTGGAAGCCTCAACAATGCTGTGAAATAAAACCTGTGGTGTTGGGACTGGTGATGTTCTGCTTTGGGCAAGCGGGTGCAGACTGCCAGCGCAGAAGGCAGTGAGGCCCCCATCCCACTCTACGTGGAGGCGGTGAGAGTCGGATCAGGCCCTTCTTGAAGGTCCCTGAAGTAACTTCCTTGCTTGCAGTGGAGTTGCTCCAGCGATGAACGCGGTCTCCTGCATTTGACAGAAGAGCGCGTTCTGGGTGGCTTAACAGCCACAAATTTACCCGGCATCTCCACCCAGAAGTCGGGACCACCTGCAGGCAGACTTGATGGGAGCTGTGTTTCTCCACCCTTTTGATTCTGTGCATTGGTGTGAATGGTGCTGTTTGCAACTTTACCTGAAAGACAAGGCTGCCGTGGTATACTATATTCAAATCATTATATTAGAAACTTTTAGCTCATTTGCTCACTAGTGCTGCAGACCTGTTTAGTGGCCGTTCGCAGGTGGTGGGACCATGCGATTGGTCTTCTACGCCTCTTAAAGGGTCATTTGTTGCCAGTTTTTTGCCCTGCCTTTCTCCACTGTTGTCTCTCAGTTTATTACACAATGCCAATTTTTTTTTTTCAGAGCAAACACTATCCAGTCACTAAACCCATTAGTACGCAACTGGCCACCTAGGCTGCGAGTCTACAAATCAAGCTAACTTCTGGCCTAGGTCATACCCGTTTGCTCCATTGGAACCAACTGAGAGCTGCTTAAAAAGAAAAATCCAAATTTTGTATAAACCTGATGGATTTTTATAGCTTTTGGGAGCAAAAATAATGTCATTTGCTAAAGAAACAACCAGTCTCTTTGTCTTCATGTCGAGTATCTGCTTTGCCCCCAATCTCCTTTCTGCTTAGCTTGTATGTGAAACCCGCTGACTTGCCATGGCTCTTGCTTTCCTTTTTAACATTTTTATCTGGCAAATTGTTCTGGCCAGCTTCACTAACCAGTGATCAACCCTTTGGAAAAAACAAAAAAACAAAAGGAAGAAACAAACTGCAGCCGTTTTGGACCTGGTTGAATTTTCATCATCTCAGGTTGGCATGGGACAGATTTTGAAGGACAAGTGTATGGGGGAATAATTGCAAAGAGAAATAGGCAGGAGTTTTTGGAAGAACAAATGCTACAACCAAGGGTATTTATACCAGAGAGATGGGAATATAAATTCCTAAGTTTTGTTCCCAAATCTAATGCCGGCTCCATGCCAGGCTTTGGGCAAGTTACTTAAACACCCTGTGCCTTAGTTGGCCTTGTACAACATTAAATGTCTGAGAACCGTGTCTGCAAGATTACAGTAGCACCGCAAGACATTTTTGGGTCTGTTACTTTCAGCTTCTTGCTGAATAGGGGATGCGGATTTGCCTCCATGACCATTTAAAAGCTCCATTTTTAGGGTGACGATGAGGATATTTTTAACGTTTCCATTTTTGCCTTTTATAATCAGTCTTTGATGGTTACTGTTTGGCACCCATTTTAAACATAGGGCTAACAAAGTGATGAGGCTGGACAGGGTGTGAGAATACATTTAGGTCTCTCAGTCATAGTTAGGACAGGGCATTTCTTGGAAGTAAAGGGTTCACAAGTTATACCTTTGCTTTTCTCACCACTTGTGTCACTCTGTAGTGCATTTGCATTACACTCAAGGCAGTTTAGAAAGTCATGTGGATCATCTTCAGTGAAACGAGCCTCAACAGCTGACAGCAGGTCTGTAAAACCCACTGTTATCTGTCAGCTGTCAAAAGTAACATAAGAATTCGGAGTTGGAAATGGCGCACCGATCTTGCTATGCTTGGATGTACTCTGATGGGTGAGAAAGTGGAATTTGCAGCTTGTAATAAAGGTCGTGTTGGAAGCCATCCTTCTCGCAGCTCCAGGTTTTTATTGTCCTGCACACTCATCATTTCACAATGTGTGAGCAATCGGTTTAACACATTAACAAAGCAGGAGCCTAGGGTGTGAAAGCATTGCCTAAGCCTAATGCCTAGAGCTTTTAACCTGCTGATTATGAGCTCCTGCTTTGCACAGCTGGTTTCCTAAAATGCTTTTTAAACAAACCAACCAAAAAAAGTTGAAATGATAAATCCTAAAAGTAGTCCTCATCATACTGAAATTGATGTGGGATTTTTTTCTAGAAAAAAAAGAAAACCCTTATTTCCCTCATCCTACTTTCATGTGGTTCTATCCTACCAATTGGATGGCTTCGGTAATAGTACATGTAAACTGTTGGGTGCTAAGCTGTATCCCTGTTTAACTATTTAAACCTCATTAGCCCCATTCACTTGAGGGCAGCAACTGTACTTTTATATACAGAATTTTTTTTATATATAAAGAATCCCCATTGGCATATAACAGGGAGACTACAACTGATGTCACTTGGAAGAACTACAGGACCAGACCTTGCTTGTGGAAGTTCAATGCAACAAAGCAGTGTATTTAGTTTATTTAGTCCATTTATTTAAGTATAGCAAGGCATAGTTCAACATAACAACTAATAAGTACACATATTTATAAATGTTTCCTATATGTCATACAAGTCTATCTGCTAGACACTTTCTGGATACTCATTAAATCATTTTTTAATGATCCACAAGTATTCAGCATACAGCAACTCTTTAAAGAACCTTATAAAATACTTTGGGTCAGACACTTCCCAATGTATGATAATTGAACTTACAAAAATATGGTAGAACTGATTCTCTTTTTGGTTGCTTAAGTATAGGTCAGGTGTAACCCCGTTGAAATGAGGAGCTTAAGTCCCATGGGAAGGGTATGTCTGATAGTTTTATTACCTAAATTAGATCTGCATTTGGGAATCTTGATTGAATGGGTTAATGATTTCGCTGTATCTCTCACCTGGATACAAAAGCAAAATACTCTATACTGGCTCAGTCCAGCATCCATTGCCACTGAACTGCAATTATTTTATTTTTTTTAAGAAAAGGTTTTAAAAGTTTTCCAGGTTTTCCACAAAGTACACGTGTAGTCTTAAAATTGTATTTCCTTTTGAAGATGAAGTATTTGAAGACAGAGGAAGAAGTTGTTTACTACGGTCTAAATTACAGATGCCAGGTCCCAAACTGATCTCGTTTAAAGCAGTGTAAATCTGGAGTAGTTTCACTGGAGTGAATTCAGATTTGCACAAATATAAATGGGAGGAGAATTTGCAGAGAAAACATGGAATTGTAGGACCAGAGCAAAAAATGACGCCCACATTCTCAGTTGAGATATCAGTGGGATATTTATATCATACATGATGGTATAAACCATCATGTGTCTTGCAGCATTAATGTATTTTTAAATCTTAAGGCCGAGGATATTTTGGCTACTCTTAAAAGGCAGCATTTGCCAACAGATACATCAGCGGCAGCACAGTACTTCCTTATATTTTGAACTGGAAGAATCTGTGTTATCTCAAATATTATTGTCCAATAATTTTTTGTAAGTGTTGCTTTTTTATGACCAATGCTATGGTATTGATAATGACTTGGGACTGTAAACCACTTTCTTAAAAAAAAAATGGCAGTTCACCTGTGAAGCATTTTTTTAAAGAAACCAAAATACTAGAGCTTTTGGCTGTGTAGGCTGGCCTAGATAGTTGTAAGCTGGTTCCTGGACATACAGCTCAAAAGAAAACGTAGCTTCTTAGGCAATTTACTAACTAATCACTAAATACAGAGCGAGGCATGGTGTCAGATACTGCAAACTCCCAGGCAGAGTCAGCAGCTCCGGATGTAGTCAATACATTCTGGTTCAAATGGAGTTTTGATTCCAAGTGGAGAGCTAGGTGAGGAAAGTGATGAACATCCCCAAATGTTAGCTCCTCAACTATTATATTTCTTTCCTATTTAAAAAAAGATCCATTTAAAACAAATTTTTGCTCAATCAGCCCTAGTTTTTTTTTTTCCCCTCAATTTTAAAAAAATGATTGCCTTCTAGTGCACAACTTATTTGATACTGATAGGACTCGACATAAAGAGAAATGGAGAGTTGACCAAGCGTGGATGGAGTATGCACGTGCACACACACATGCACACACACGCTGTCTCAGTCTATAGTTATACAGATGGACTCCCTTTTTTAGGATTTATTTTTTCCTTTTCCTTTGCTTATTTTCCATAATTCCCTTTTTCATTCCTATACATTCATCTCACAGCAAGCTGACTGATGCTTTGGTCTGCCTGAGAAGTTCCTTTGCTAGTAAATGCCGAAAACTAGCTCAAACTGAATGTACTCATGAAGGGACATATTTTTATTTTTGCAAAAATAAGTAACTTCTTTTTATAGTTTTGATCTTCCCAAGACAAGGGACAGGATTTCAAGGTGGGAAAAGTGGGGGTTTTTTATTTTATAATACTGACATCCATAAAAATCCACTTCACTTCCCAACTGTTCTTTGCAGACGTAACTTTATGAACTCTTCAGTCCCTATCAGAGACACTAAGGATAACAATAACCACAGAAAGCATGGATGGGATAGTACAGGTGTTTTTTTTTTCCACTCAAGTTTCTCTCAATTAACTTAACAAAGTGAATTTAATCATTTCAGCTTTTGTCTTTCTTTTAACCCCATGCTGTTCATACTGTTTTCTTTGTAGTCACTGAACAAGAGACTAAAGTGCCCAAGAAAACCATCATCATGTAAGTGCTGATTTTTTTTTTTTTTTTTTTAACATTTGTGTTTTGACTTGCTGCCTATGCATGATCCAATAACAAGCTTGTGTCTATTGGCCATGCAAGAGTGTGTCCCTTCCCATCCCATCCGAACTCATGGTATTTTGTGTTATAAAAAGCAATGAGCTGACAAATGTAGGCATTCCTC